TGTGTTTTAAGAAATCGACAAGAAGAAATAGGAGAGAGCTTTCAGTACTCGTTAGCTTACTGCTACAATTAGACACTGCCTGCCCACTCTGTTGCCAGATTTGAGAGAAATAAGCAACCAGGTCTATGAAAACAAGCCCCAAAGAAGCAACACATACATGATGTTCTGTAATTTGAAACCAAAACTAAGGCCTCAGGATGACTTTAAGACTTGAACATGGTCATTTTGGTTTTGTAACATTGAATACAACATTTAGAAAAAAGTATTTTATAAAAAAAAGAAAAGAAAAAAAATCCCGATCCCCGATTTTTTTTCTCCCGATTCCGATCTTTTGAAAATCACGTGATCGGCTCCGATCCCCGATCACGTGATCGGATCGGGACATCTCTAATTTGAATTGTATGTTTTGAAAATGTAACAGTACCATTTGATCCCAGCTGCGGCTGCACAGGGTCTTGAAGGTGTTCCGAGTTAAACCCCTCGTCTGCCCGTGTCCTCTCCTCTCAGTGCAGGTATCGGCAGGACCGGATGTTTCATCGTCAGCAGTATCGGCTGTCAGCAGCTCAGAGACACCGGGCAGCTCGACATCCTGGAGACGGTCTGTCAGCTCCGACTCGACAGGTGGGGAAAACTCTCCTCTCTCTCCTGCCTGTGTGTTTTATCAGATTATTGTCTCTGGGGTGTTACATTTTGTTTATTCCCCCCGTCCTGTGCAGAGGTGGTATGATCCAGACCACAGAGCAGTACCAGTTCCTGCACTCCACTCTGGCCCAGTTCAGCCGTCAGCTGCAGCTCAACCAGGTACTCCAGCCTGATCCCTGCATCATGTGTCCTGCTGGGAAATGGTGTTTTTATGGATTGTATCACATAGAAACTACAGATATCACAAGCATATCTTTTTAAAGTTAAGACACATATTCCAACAAGGTACCAAAATAATAGAACATGACTAAGCACAAAGCATTTAACATAAAACAATATCCAGAAACTATCCTGAAACCAAAAACAACATAACATCAACTTAACCCTTAGGTGGACCAGTGACTGGGCCCTACACTCTTCCATAAAAAGGACCCGTATTAGAATAATATGTGTGTTTATGCCATTTTTGTCATTTTGGTCACTTGTATAATATTTTGTATTATTATATCTTGGTTCACACTAGAAATATTTTATATCTAATTTTTCACTATTTATATATATAAAAATATATTTTTGACCCACTTATGGAAGCTTGGGGTAGTAATACAAAAACTGCAATTTCTTAAAATTTAAATTTAAAATTTGAATTTCATGATATCCACATGTTTTTTGAGGAATAGCTGGAATATGAAATGACAATTTTTTTTAATTAAAAAGATACTTCAAGAAAACCACCTCACCGGGTCAAAAAAGACCCACTTATGGAAGCTTGGGGTAATAATACGAAAACTACAATTTCTTAAAATGTATAAAATTAAAAGTTAAAATTTGAATGGCATGATATCCAAAACATGTTTTTTGAAGAATAGCTGGAATATGAAATGATAACATTTTTTAATTACAAAGATACTCGAAGAAAACCACCTCACTGGGTCAAAAAAGACCCACTTTTCATCTAAGGGTTAAGAAAATTACAAAATAACAAATGGAAAAAAAATAAAATAATCACAACAAGCATATCTGGTTAAAGTTAAGACACTTATTCCAACAAGGTACCAACATTAGAAGATTATAAAACATGATGAAGCACAAAGCAATTAACATAAAACAATATTCAGAAACTATCCTGAAACCAAAAACAACATAATAACATCAACTTAAGAAAATGACAAAATAACAATGTTTTTGCAAATGTCTCTTCAACTGCCTTTAGTGCTAATGCTAGCTGAGGACAGCCCTGACAGTCGTTTATTTAGTAACAGTTGAGGAAAAGTTAAACCCCAGTGTTTCCTCCTCAGGAGCAGAACCAGCAGAACCCAGAGGAGCAGGTCAGCGTTCAGCTTCAGAACCTGGAGCTGGACAACAAACAGAACAAGAAGAACCTGGAGAACCAACAAGGCACGATACAGACTTGAAGAAATCCAAGACACCACACAACCAGCAGTTAGCGCTACAAGTCATGTTTCCAGCACCATACATATGGAAACAAGAAAACTTGTTGAGCCAGCAACAAAACTCAAAGACAGGTAGAGACTTTGGGGAACCAAGAACCAACAGGAACCTCAAAATGGTGGTTTGTGGGATGTTTTTTTGCAGCAGAGGCTACGAGAACCCAGGTGTTCATGTTCACTGTGGACTGTCCCAATAAAGGTTTTCACTACAGGATTACCCTGGCTAAAAGAATGTATATTAACGATGTTGTCGCTGATATGTATTGAGCATTTCAAAAATGATCAAATATTTCGTGTTTACTGTGTCCCAATTTTGCAAATGAATATTATTCATTTCTGCGTTGGGAGAGAAAGTGTGAACATATGGGATAATGAATGCAAAATAAGTATTGATCTTTTAATTTTAATTTGGCCATTTGTTAGACAGACAGGACAGAAAGACAGGATAACATTAAACAAAGGGTCACGCTCAGGACTCGAATACGGGCAAGCTTTGAATCGCTTCTCAACACACATTTTGATAGACTTGTATTTATGTGCTGTCCTATTTTTATCCCTTTTTCCTTCGTTGTATTTATATACTTGATAAATGTTTTTTAATTGTTTATAATCTATTGTACAGTTAATGTTTCTTCAGCATGTGTCTGCTATCCACTATTTGCTTTGAATAGTTCATTTGACCTTCATTGTATCTCGCTTTTTTGTACGGTTTTCTGTTGGTACTGTATACTGCAGTGTATCCTTTGTGGCTTTGTAAACTTAAGTAATTAAAATAAATTACCCAAAAATGTTATGGATACAGTAATTACGTTTTTATTTTAATTATAAACACAACTTAGATGTTGGGATTGTATAGGTCGAAAAGCACTTCCATAGCCACGATAGTAACATGACTCAATGTCCACATCATTTGATTATAAAAACATAAGTACAGTGGTGTAAAGTAACTAAGTAGATTCACTCAAGCACTTAAGTACAATTTTGAGGTACTTGTACTTCAATTGAGTATTAATGTTGTGCTACTTTGTACTTCTACTCAACTACAATTCAGACGTAAATGATTGTAAGTACCCTGTCTCTACAGCAGAGAGCAGTGTTTCACTCACCAGAGCATCTACCTCTATCCGTCTCCTCTTTTCCTACTCTCCTCTTCTTCCTCTATCAACCCCACCCAAACAGGAAGCAGACTCAACCTGCAGCATGAAGCATGTTCTAATAATACATCTATGCTGTATCAACAGAATCAGGTGTATCAGGTTTATTATTAAGTAGGTTTCCGTAGATGGAATGCACCATGGTGTATAAGAACAATACATAGTGAATAGAACAACACATTAATTAATTAATTAAAGCAAAAGGGCTACAGGAAAAATCAAGAAACATTAACACTGACAGGGATGTGCAGGAGTTCTTCAAATAAAATACAAATAACTAATAAGAAAATGTAAGAGGATAAATACTGTTTGTGTTCAAATTCACAGCAGATTCATTTTTTATATAAACATGTTTGTTTTAACCAGTGGTGTAAAGTAACTAAGTACATTTACTCAATTACTGTACTTAAGTACAATTTAGAGTACTTGACTTGAGTATTTCCATTTGTGCTACTTTGTACTTGCATCATTGGGTATATTTAAACATGCATTGTTATCTCACTTTCAACTGGTCTGTACTTGTTATTAACCGATATTGATGAAACTGATTTGCTCGACTGTCACATTGTAATGATTGTGTGCATTTCTTGAATTTCACTAAACAGACTGTATGTGGTTTGTCTTGTGTGTCAAGTTTTGCATTTTGTCTTTTTGTTTATGTATGCCTGTACGTTGTTCCTATTGTCGGGACCCACTTGAAAACGAGATGGTGCATCTCAAGGGGTTTATCCCAATGAATAAACATTTCTATATATATATATATACTTCTACTCCACTACAATTACATTACATTGCATTTAGCTGACGCTTGTATCCAAAGCGACTTACAATAAGTGCATTCGACCAAGAAGATACAAACTAGAAGAAAACAGAATCATATAATCAGGTTTCATACCAACATATTTCAAGTGCTACTCAACTGGCTTTAGATAAGCCAGTCCTTTATTAGTATATAAGTGCTTTGTTAATAATTGTATTGCTCGAAGTGGAGTCAATTCAGAGGTAAATGGTGTACTTCTACTCCACTACATTTATTCAATACCTTTAGTTACTTTACAGATTTGGATTAATGATGTGAAATATAATCAAGTTTTAAATCAGACTTTAGTTCCACCTGGATTAAAGCTAAAGCTACCCTGCAGTATACAAAGTCATTCAAACTAGCTGCACCTTTGCCAGCTTTGATAACACATTATTGATCAATCATTATAAAAAACAAAAGCACATTGACTACTTTTACTTTTGGTACTCTAACTATATTTTGATGATAATACTTTTGTACTTTGACTTGACTAACCTATGAATGCAGCACTTTTACTTGTAACAGAGTATTCCTACACTCTGGTACTTTAATTAAGACCACAACAAATCTGAGAACTTCTTTCACCTCTGGTTTTAACCTTTTTTGACTGATAGGGTACTTATGTTATTGTGAAAGGGTGTACCGGATGTGATATTACATTTAACATCTGACTTGACGCGGCTGGTAGGAAAAGGCGTAGCTAGTAAACATCACAGAAAGCCGAAAACACACAGCGGACATTAGAGCCTAAAAACACAGACTCTTTAAACATCATACCCGGTTCACACAGAGCCTGTCGGTGTCCTCCGTTCTGCTGTAACCGTCGGTGGTTGTCACAGCAACTGTCAGCGTCCCCAAGAAAAAAGACAGTTGGGGCGTTAGCATAGCAGCCTAGCATAGCAATCTAGCCTTAGCAACAGCAGCTAGCATTAGCATCAGACGATTACAAAGATGATCGCGCTAATCAACAAACTGCTGGACTGGTTCAAGGCACTATTCTGGAAAGAGGAGATGGAGCTGACCCTGGTAGGGCTGCAGTACTCCGGGAAAACGACCTTCGTCAATGTGATAGCGGTGAGTGTGGAGGGTGGTTTTTATGCTAGCGCCAGCTGTCAGTTAGCATCTGGCTGCATCCATTGTTATCCTGCAGTGGTGAGGTCAGCTAGCTGTGGCTGTATAACTACTGTAAGCCGCTGAATGAGTTAAGATGATTTAGATGTCACATTTTTATTAGCTAGCTGTGTTTTTCACTGAGAAAACATGCTTTTACGGTCAAACACTTAACCCTTATCTCGGCTGTGATGTGTTGTTTAATCAGACAAATCTGAATTCCTGTATTCGTCCCAGAGAGGGGACATTTATATAGTTACAGCAGTATAGATGACGACAAATACAAATAACACACTATTAGATCAATAAGGCATGCACATAGTATTTCAAATAAAAACATTTACAGAAGAACACATTCAGGGAAAAGCAGTATTTATAAAATAAGTGTAACATTGTAGAATACTGTGTGGGAGAGGGTAGTGTTAAATGCATACAATTTATATATTTACATAATAACATACAGAGTCTTGTCGGAATGGACTACCTAAGAAGTATCAGCCAGTAGTAATATTGATATTAGCTAGTAAATGTGCACATCTGCTACTTTGCACAATTGTAATGTATATATAATCCAAAGCCAATATGTGTCTGTAGTATATTTCTATATATTCCTGTAGCGAGTGAGACTGTATATTGTAGAGTATTTAATATTTTGGTGTCCTATACAGTAGATACCTTAGTGATATATGTCCTTTTTTATTGTGAATTGTATATACTGCTGCTAATGTTATTGTATATTTTAAACATTTTAACTTGTGTGATGTTTGACAACACTGCTGCTGGGACAAAATAATTTCCTAATTTCTGACAAATACAGTTTCTATGAATCGGCCGTTTTTTGGGACATTAACCCCCCCACCAGTGGTGCTGGTGGCAAGGCCGGAGGAAGGGTTTTTATAGGTCTGGTGATGGAGGATCGATCAGCCTCTTGCTGTCGGAGTGACCTTCCCTCTCTTTAGACTCACTCTCTGTCAGACATCCGCCTCCCCTACTGACCATGCACACACCACACATTTTTGGGTGACCCACTAACATAGATTTGCCCTTTTTCCTTATTTATATTAGTGGAAGTTTTGGTATTTACCATCCACTGATTTCTTAGAATCTGAAATGCATTATTGATGTGTAGGGTAAAATGAGGTGAGGTGCTGTAGCTCTTGAAACAGGCCAACATGTCTGAGTGAATGGAACAGGAAAAACACTGCATTTCATAATTCGTAAGGAACTCTTTTAAAGTAGATTTTTGACATCAAATCCCAATATTTTAATCCCACATTTATTTCTATTGAAAATCTGAAATGCAGTTTGGAGTGCAAACTAGAGCCTTACTATACTTTATTCGTTCAACATAGTTTTTTTTTGTTACAGCAGCATGTTTACAGGCACTAGACATGAGATATAGTTAAATGGACTATCTAAAGAATACACAATATCAAATATGGTATACATTAGGGCTGCTCAATTATGGCAAAAATCATAATCTGGATTATTTGGGTCAATAATTAATATCAAGATTATTAAAAACAATTATCCATTTACTTTGAAAACATCCATTTATTGGAGAAAAAAATGTGAACACTATGTTTTTAACAGTTGATTACCCTGAACTTTAAGTATAATTCAACTGAAAAACCAAAAAAAGATTATTTGAAAAAAAAAGTAATAATAAAAAAATAATGGTTTTATTTCGATTACGTTGTTTTCGTAATCGTTGCAAGCCATAATCGTAATTGCGATTAAAATATGATTAATTGAGCAGCCCTAGTATACATTAGAATACTCTGTAATTATCTACTGCCTAAACAGAAGCATAAAAACATAGGATACTATTACTATATACATAAAGCTGATATTTAAATCAATATGTGGGCCTTCTGTATAGGTGTCATTATAACCACACGTTTTTAGGCTCTAATGCATGTCTGTATTAGAACCTAAAAATATACATATAATCGCTGTTCATCTCTACTGTGTTTTAGTCAGAATAACAACATAACATAAACTATTTTATTTATGTGACATTTCGACTTCTCTTAAATCTGTCTTTTTATAAATGTTGACCCTCGTGCACTAAGAGCAATGTTTTTCCGTTAAAACTGAAACTACTTTTTAGAGCTAGAGAGCTACGGTCCAAACTTGTACATCATATAAGCCATTTGTATTCCTTTTCTGAGAGATGACAGGAAATGAGGGGGGGGGAGATGAGTAATGGTATTCCATCTGGACTGAAACCCAGCTGCCATCTTAACCCCTCCCTCGCCAGGAACCCAGTATCTTTGGCATTTCTGTTCTGACATTCCTGCCACATATCTCATGACATCAAAAGTGTGTGTGTGTGTGTGTGTGTGTGTGTGTGTGTGTGTGTGTGTGTGTGTGTGTGTGTGTGTGTGTGTGTGTGTGTGTGTGTGTGTGTGTGTGTGTGTGTGTTTCAGTCATTTGCTCCATAAAAGGCAGTGATATGTAGCAGGAAGTTAGCACTGACTGCGAGCTGTTAAGTGTTCACACACACTCTCACACTCTCACATTG